GAATTCCTCAATAATGCCTTCAAATCTGAAGTGCTTTATCCATTATCAATATTTAATTATTATTTTTTTAATTTTTTTTTACAAGAAGGTAGAAAAGAGTTTGAACCCATGTTCTTGAAATCACTACAATTTTCTACCATTTAAGCTACCAAAATTTCTATATTTAACTTATTAATTATATTTTCCATTCACAAAGAAATTTATTACTACTAGTAATAAAATTGTTACAATTAAGGTAAATATTTTTCATGGATCTTACAAAAGGTGCTATATAACAATTCACAACAACCTTAATGGAACAAGCCTAATAATAAAATAAAAGTCACCTTCAAACTTTTTTTAAATGTGTTTATTTGACTCAAGATTTACCTAAAAGATTAAAAATTCAATTTGATATACCCAAGAGGATTTGAAATCGTACATTATTATTTCTATGATACTTTGACATTATTTAACACTATCGTGATATTATGTGATTGGTCCATGTTAATATTTATGATTATTATTATTAATTATGGAATAATTTTCAACTAATAACATAATGGCACATAAATGGTGTTAAAATATTGTCAAAAAGAAAATATTACGAAAGTATCATTATTCTATTTCTATATATGTAGGGTGCAATCTAATCATTGGAACATCTGGTTTTGTTGCTCTATTGATTATGAGGTTTCTTACCAATGAGCCTCTCGTGGTGGGAAATCAGCGGAATGAAAACTGAGTTGATGTCTGTTTTCCGTTGGTATGCGAATCATGTGGAGGGTTAGTAGGATCGAATTATTTAGATTTTTTCCCCACCATGATTGAGGGGTCCTCAAGGCATCAAAAGTGTGAAGTGGTGTTAAGTGGATGAAAGAATGAAAGAAAGAAACAAAATTATATAGGTTCTTCTACCATTGATAAACATTAATACAATAGATTGATTAGAATAGATAGAAAAAGATAGAAAAAGAAAGACACGATTTAGCTTTATATGCTTGAATTTCTTAATCAAAAGCGTACATAGTTTCCGTATTAGTTGGCTACAAGTATACCATTGCAACAGAGACAAAATATCAAAGAATATAAGAACTATAAATACACTCATGATTATGGAGTAATTGTTTGTCATACTCAAGCTGGTAAAACATGTGCCTTCTCACATGCGTTCGCATAGGATTGTTTTTAAATCTTGTCACAGGAAGACAAAAGAAAAGGTAAAGTACAAAAATTTTACCAACGAAGTTAAATTGAGCTTGAGATTAAAGGTGAATAGGGATGAGAACACAATATATGAATTATTATATATTATTAAGTAGTGGTGGATCTTAATAAGGGTGAGGAGTCTGAGTCTCCAAATCTTATTGATTTATCTACCGCTTTCGATGTTTTTCTTTTTAGACTAGATATACGGTCAATGTTGTGGTGATTATGGAATGTGTAACATGTTTTGTATTTTGTATTGTTTTTTGTTTACGTAATACGATATTAGTATAGTATGTGTATGAAAGAAAGAGACATTCGTCCACATTATTTTTTATGTGTGAAAAACAAATTCTAATAGTTTTATATATTTTAAATATTTCTGTACAATTTTATGATGAATAAGAAAATTCATTATTAAGATTTATTGACATTTACCAACAATCAACATTTATATATTGGTATATATTTGTCAGTAGATATTCTAATTTGGTGTTCTTCTTCTTTTTGTCATTATCTTTCACTTCTCTTCCTCCTCCTTATTATCATCCTTATCATCCTCCTCCTTTTCCTTTTCCTTCTCTTACTCATTCTCATCCTCCTTTATTACTACTACCACGGTCTTTGCCTCCGTCAAGGTTGTTCCCTATGCCTCTCTTTCTTCTTCTTCTCCTCTTCTCTTATTCTTCTTCTCACTCATCTTCAATTAATTCATAACAACCGAAGCGTATTGTAAAAAATAATCGTTGTCGTTTTCCTTCATTACACTAGTGATTTCTTCAAATTTGATAGTAAATTGACGTCCATTTCACAAATAAATTTATCGATGGAATTATCGACCAATTTTTAAAAATGTTGAATTACTGACATATTTATTGCTTACCTGCATTTTCTTTTCCTAATCCTAAATGAATCAGGTGTAGTCACTCCTCTATCCACACTAGTACAAAAACAGCGTATAACGTCACGCGTTCAACGTCCAACCATTGAATAACCAACGTTAAAAATGAGCGGTGACATTTTTGTAAATAAATGTAATTATTAAACGTCATTTAGAATTGTAATTTGACGTAAAAGGATATAAAACGTCGAATGGATTTTAAATTTGACGTCAAAAGGTTAGTGAATTCAATAAAGTTTGAGCGCAGACTGAAAATTCATTCACTTTATCTTAGCGCACAATACCTTCTTCTCTTCTCAAACTTTTTTCGAAAGAAGTTTGACAAGCATCACATGTAATCTTTCTTTCATTTGAACCAAATGCTTATTAATTAATTACTTTATGTATGATTTTCATTTGTTTTAACCGGTTATTTTCGTGATCTTGTCCTTCATAGGCGGATTCTGATTTCTCTCTCACTATGGCTAGGGATGGCAACGGGTCGGGTCGGGCACGGATAGTGTGATACCCGAACCCGACCCATATGTAAAAAATTGTACCTGTACCCGTCCTGCTAACCGCTGGATACCCACATAAAAAAAATCCACGGATTTTTTTCAACCTGCGGATACCCGTTTCAACCAATAAATTCTTTTTAAAAAATAATATTTTATTATTTTTAAAAAATGTTTAAATTAAATTTAAAAAAAATTATCAAACGTCAATGTTTAAATCATACGGGCCAAAAGTCCAAATAATTTTTTTTTATTATTAATTTTTTTTCTTCAAAATGGGTATCGTTCAAACTTTTTTTTAGGTTTTCTTCAAAATGGGCCAAGCCCAAACCTTCTTTAGGGTTTCTTCTTCAGAGTAGTGGAAGAAACAAAAACGGAAAAGGGAAGAAACTTCAGAAATCCGCGAGAGCGGCTGCTGGGATCCAAGAACAAGGCGAAGCCGCTGCTGAACATCACTAGGGAGAGCGCCAACACGCTCCGCACACACATCCTCGAGGTAGGCAGCGGCTGCGACGTTTTCGACAACGTTACCAGTTACTCGCGACGACGGCAATGCAGTATCTGTATTTTGAGCGGCAGCGGCACCGTGACGAATGTGACCTGCGGCAGCCAGCGGCATCGGGGGCGGTGGTGACTCTTCACGGGAGGTTCGAAATACTTTCACTGGCGCGACGTTCCTTCCTCTTCTGGCGCGATCATTCCTTCCTCTACCAGCGCCACCGGGAGCGACAAGTCTGAGTGTATACCTGTGGTAGTGTGGTAGTCTGAGTGTATACCTGTGGTACTTTTCAGGTCTCGTAGAGTTGTAAATAAGGATCACAATTAATTAAAAAAACTAAAAAATTGATTAACGTCGAATATTGACAAAATCCGACGTTAAGTTTAACGTCAAATTTTTTAAATTCGAAGTTAAAAGTCCAAAATATTTGAAGTTGTACGCGATTTTTGTACTAGTGCCAACGTGCCTTTTCATTTCAATTTTGATTTCCAATTGGTTCAATTAGCATGGAATCATTGTGTTGTTGATGTCATAGTTTCGAACATTTTAGTGTGTTGGTCCTTTCATGGGTGCTTCTGGTACACTATTAAGTTTGTTGGGAGGCATGCTTTCATAACCCATTACTAATTGGACTATATATAAAAACAAGCTAGTAGTGGGAATTCTCTCACATGTGGACATTTTTTTTTCAGGATTTCTTCTTTGTAGTAAAGCTTTTACAAAAGTGGTGATGATCGAAAGAAGTTGTTCATTTGTCCATAGTATAATATTTATGGCTCTTTCATTTATAACCAAAAATATGCAGGACGAGCCAAATGATTGAAAGCATTTCTAAAATAGGACTGCATTTTCCAAGTCAAATATGAGTCGGGTCTATATAATCGGGTTGGCCAACATTGTCAATTGTAGTGACTGAGTTAACATTTCCAATTTCGTTGATGTTTTCTCTTGGTAACTAATCACCAACAACATTTTGTGGCTAGATAATTAGAAATTTTATAGAAGAAATAGAGAAAGGTTACTATGTTTATAATTTTTTTTTAACTCTTTGAAACTATTTTTTGGCAAAGAATGTTCATTTGCATATCATTTTTTAAAGAATGTTCTTATATTCTAAAATATTTCTTTTGTTATAGCTTGTATGACGTGAATTAGTGTGAAACAATATTAAGTGAAAATAAAGGAGATAACTATTGTAGGGATGGTCAACACACACACATACACATAGATCTCCACACTAGTAAGATATTGTCCGCTTTGGGCCAAGCCCTCACGAATTTGCTTTGGTACCACTCCAAAAGGCCTCTTACCAATGAAGGTATCTTATGTGTATATAAACCCATGTCCATCTCTTATTTTATCTGATGTGGGACTTTGTTTGTACCCAACATCCTCCCCTCAAACAAAGGACTTTGGTTCTTCTAACTCCCCTATAGCGGAATTCTTTTTTTATCCTCGAGTACACCATGGTCAACACTCTCTTTCACGATCCATGGTCACAACACGAAGCATATCTTGCTCTCTACCTCTCATGACTCATCTGGTTATCTGTCGACCACCTGCCAAGGCTTCACCTGATCATGGAGGGATGTACTCGTTTGAGCCCGGTCACCAGACCTGCACCATGGGCCTGCACCATGGGCTCTAATACCATTTTTTTTGTCGGTCATGTGATTTCTACATCCACTATCAATGAACCAAATATTATCTTGCTCTGCATTATTTTCTTCAACATACATCATCGATAATTATTCCTCTTCTTCATCTAGTTTCATGTAATGGACTGCCTTCTGCCAGTTAGGACACTCATATTGAAAGTGTCCCAATTGATGAAAATTAAAGCATTCAATGGTTGCTTTGTTAAAGAATCTACCTCGGCCTTTTCCTCCTCTTCTAGTTGTTGTCTCGTCATATGTAATATTCAATGTTTGTTCATCCCCTCCTTTTCTCCATAATAGTTTTTGTTCATGAACAAGTAAGGAACTTTGGAGTGCATCAACGTAAGGTTGTCGATGTCGTGTGCTTCTTCGATGGAACACACAATGTATTCGTAGTTCTCCGTGAGAGTTCGTATAATCTTTTCAACAATTGTTGTATTCGTCATGTCTTCTCGATAATTTCTCATGTCAACGGCCACCACCATGACTCTTGCGATATAGTCGTTCACCGTCTCTCCCACCTTCATCTCCAAAAGCTCAAAGGCCCTTCCGAGTCTTTGAAGTTGAGCACGTTGCACCCTTGCATTTCCTTGACATTTGATTTTCATTGAATCCCAGAGTTGTTTGGAAGTCTCCTTCTGAATGATGATTTTCAAAATAGATTTGTCAATAGCTTGAAAAATATAGTTTTTAGCCTTTAAATCCTTCAGTCGCATCTCGTCTAATGTTTTCTTTTGCATCGCTGATAGACTTTCTTCCTCCTCATGCCCTTTGTAACCTAATTCTACCACGTTCCAATACTTTTTCGACCTCAAGAGATTTTCCATGAGAAGACTCCAATGATCATAGTCCCCATCAAATTTGGGAATGGAGGTTTGTACAAAATTGTTTGCCTCAACTGTCATATTTCACACTCGTATTTTTGCTCTCACTCTCGCACTTTATTAGGCTTCTATTGAAGCTCTGATACCAGCTTTGTTGGGAGGGTCAACACACATACATACACATAGATCTCCACACTAGTAAGATATTGTTCACTTTGGACCAAGCCCTCACGGGTTTGCTTTTGGTTCCACTCCAAAAGGCTTCTTACCAATGGAGGTATCTTATATGTATATAAACTCATGTCCTTCTCTTATTTTATCTGATGTGGGACTTTGTTTGTACCCAACATAAATGGTTTCGTATGCTCATGGCTAGTCAGATGTGACAAATAATGCTTGTAGTGTGTTTTATCAGTCGATTCCTTTAATTGTTATCTTAAACGATAATTAAACATAATTCAAATTAAGTGAATTAGTTTAAAATACAGTGTTTTTTTGCTTCAACATTTACACTCATAACTTCAATTATTTCTCACCAGTTGATTGTGAAACTTTCTTAAAAAGTTATTATAAAGTAATAGATAATCCCTTGAATAATATATCATTTACAAAGTATCTAATTAAAGTGGGTTAAGTTAGAGTTAAAGTGATTAATAAGACTTTAATTAAACACTAAATATTTTTCATAATAGTACCCGTCTTTAAAATATTTTAAATTGGTAATTTATCTCTGAATATTTTACATTATTTATGAATTGGTTCTAACCTAATTTGTACTATTTGTAACTTAATAAGATGGTTCCAATCCAACTTGGCCCACTAGGCCAACCTAACCCATCTTGGGTTCATCCCAATCTAAAATTGTCTACATGAATTCGTTCTTGGTTGACCTTATCTCAACCTAAATTAATATTGCATGATCCAAACTTGGTTCAACAAAAATCAAATATAGGTCTAACTTTACTTGATTTGACATCTATCTGCCTTAATTTGGCCCAATGTGGGCTTCAATCAACTTAACCAAAGGTGGGTTCGACTCAACCCAATTCCAAGTGTGCTCAATTGATTTAGTTAGATGTGAGCCCAATTAGACTTTGCCTAGCGTAAGCCTAACTCGACTTGATTTGACATGACCAAGCTCTACTCGACCTAATATGGACAAAATCTACTCAATCTAACATGATCATAACTCAAATAAGATCGAGCTAGACTCAACTCGATCCAAAGTACGTGGGTCCAATTTGACATAACTTAAGGTGGGTTCAACTCAATTCTGCCCTAGGTTGGCATAAATTGACATAGCCTGAGGTAGGCTTGAATCAATGTGGCCATACATGGATTCTGCATGACTTAGCATAAGATAGGTCCAACTTAAGTTGGTCTTAGGTAAACCTTACTCGAATTAATCAAATGAAAACTCAACCATAAGTAGGTCAGGTCCAACTCAGCTTAAGGTGACCCAAGCCAACTCGACTTGAGGTAGATCCTACATAACTTGAGTTGACTTTTCATGACTTGAGTAAGGCCTATTTTGATCCGAATTGGACCTAATTTCTCTTGGTCTAACTTAGGCCCATCTAAACCAGCTTGAAAATGTGTCAACATAACCTAACTTGACCTAAGTTCAACTCAATTTTACTTTAACCGTGATTAAGTTTGGATTAAATAAATGCTTTGAATGTGTAACAAGATTTTATTAAGTAATATTTTATTCATTTTCATTTTTAAATAACTTCTTTTTTATGAAAATGGTTGTAAACCTTGATCCATATTAATTTTGTTAGTATTTTGAATTTATAAAATTTTTCTTATGTGGATTTTTTTGATGTTATCAAACCTTTTGACCCTTTATGTGAGACTAATTTATGTGAGATAGAATAGTAATGTGGATTGTGTCAATTCACACGTCTAATAAAAATACTATTAAGTAATTCTGAATTTTATTTAACAATATTTTCAAGATTTTCAAAATTAAATCATAGTAAGAAAATTATATTATATATTAATTAAGAGTTTATTTCTTACGTCCATCATTAATCATGAAATAAATACAATAAATGTTAAAATCTAAAATAAATAATAAAATGGTTTTTTATTTGTAAGGTTAAAATATTAATTTAGTTCTTATTTTTTGTCAATTTAGTCTAAATATTTTTTTTTCAATAAGGTCCCAATTTTTGGCAATTTTGTATAGTTTAATCCTTTTGACTAATGTTGCTTAAATGATTAGCAGATAGTGAACAATGTATGTTATATGTCAATTCGTGATTTTTAAAATTTTTATTTTTTAAAATTTTTAAATTTTTAATTGTTATATCTTCTTAAAATTTTTCTTAACTAAAGTAAATTGTTCACGTGTGAAGCTAACATCGTGCTATGTGACCATAACAATGCAACATGTCAAGGTTAGTGACACGTGTTAGTACCAATGGTACGTGTCAGTATTGGTGTCATATATCAGTGTCTTATGTTTAATTTGATCCCTAATTTATTATTTTAGGTTAAACTATTTAATTGACTCTTAACCTAAATCTCACATAAGTATTAAATAGTTTATTTGATTTTTAACCTAAAAATCACATAAAGTATTAAATAGTTTATGTGATTTTTAACCTCTTAAAATTTTAAACTAAAGGTGTTAGTCCCCTTTACTAAAATACTCATTGTATTTTTAAACCAACTCTAACCTTAAATTATAAATATTTAATAAAAATATGAACAATTTTGTTGCAATGGTATTTTGTAACACCCAAATATTTTAAAGGGGTATTACTAGTAGTAGAGACTAAATTAGTCTGATATAAACAATCAAACTTTATTTCAATTTCTCCAAAGTACAATACCAAACTTACAAACTTTAAACAATATAGT